TATATAGGTAAATTATTGTGACCAGACTAATTGATTTATATCCAGCTCTGAATGGCCTGCAATTATTTCCAAAACATTGGGCAGGTTCGTCCCGCGTATCCAAAGAGCGTCTCAACAAATCCAACCGAGAAATGATTAAAACTATTTAATAGCTCTGCGTCAACTAAAGAGGAAGTAGAGACTGTACAATGCAGAACACATATGGCCTAAATGAGAGGTGATACTATACTAATATTCATTCAAATTTATGGACATAAATTTATGGACAACCCCCCCACACACTACATTAGGGCATAACACGCTGGAGTACTGCCAGACATTTAACTGGAGTGAAAATCGAATATCTTCGATGAGTCCGACATATAAGTTCATCAAAAAAATGCGTACTAGCACAATATACGACAAGCGATTCCTTCAATTAATTTAAAGCATACAAAGCACTGAAACGATTCCTTCAAGTGATATTAAGCAAACAAAGCACTGATTCAACTACATCACATATTCCGGTGCCCTCGACAGAGGAAAAAAAACTGGCGGAATAGTATGAATAAATAGAAACAGAAATACCAGTGAGTCAGAAAAATCCCGATCCTCCGTCCGTTTACGACCCAATTGGTACAACGGTGATGGTTTGCGTAGTTGTGACGAGGTTCTGGCAACGCACAGCTTCCGTCGCCCGCGTCCACGCTGAGACATTGCTCGCTGACTTGGATTCAACTTTGCGTACCATGTGCCTCAATCAGAAACCGTTTGTATACACACTGAATCGTTCAAGTTAAACACTGATTGTAAATTTCTAATATCGACTATGTCTCGACTTTATATGAGTATCTTCTGTGCTTACAACGTTATGCCTCCAAGTACATCCGCCGGTCGGTGTGTTGTGAGGCGAGTATTTATCAGAATATCAAAAATCTTTGTTCCACAAGGTTACTGGCGTATGTGGTATATGATGCTTACAATACAAGCAGTATACTTTCTAACTTTCCCTTTCTACTTTGTTGTTTTGAAGCCAACGGATTATATTTCAACGACCTATGACACTGAGAGGCAGTGGGGAGGAGGACTGGGTCACTGGGATGTCTACGATATTCTGTTCTTGTTCAAAAGTGCTTTTGCGCGGGCATGGGACTTTGTCACCGGGGCTTGGGGTGGGGCCTTGGGCTTCATACACAGTGAATGGTTTTATATAATTGCCCCAGGTTGAAATCGACAAATACACGCAACACACAAGTCAAAAGAAGAGAGTGAAGACTGAGAAGGCAGAGTGAGAAAGAGAATACTCGAAAAGAGAGGGAAAGGCTAAATATGCAAAACAAATAAAAAATTTCAGGAGTAAAAATAGAAATAGTAGAGATTTTTATATTTTTATAGCCATGTTCGATTTCAGAAGGCTATGAGATAGTATAGAGAGTATTTAATTTTAAAAAAAAGTATTCCGGAGCGGCTAAAAATACTCTGAAAAGCAAACAAACATAAAGGCCGAAATGTAGGTGTATATTTAGTTTCGGACTCGAAAAGCCCAAACCTGAGGACTAGAGCCCAAGAGAATATTGGTCAATTATTGGCCAATTTCTAGTGAGTGTGTTCGAGGCATTTGAGTTGGGTACATTTCTCTCTCTAGCAACGAATTTATTTGGGGCGTCCCTATCAAGCCTCACAGGGCCCTTCAAATATTTTGAGGTATGCAACTGTGCAAGGCATGGTTCAATTTTGCTCCCCAACAGACAAAGCAGTTGACTCTTGTTGTGTGTGTCTGTATCACTGTGAGTCTGTGTGAGAGTGAACTCGCCCAACAACGGTTATGGGGGAGACAGGCACTCATGCAGTCAGGAGGGCGCAGGGGAGGGGGGAATAAAAGAATAAAAACGGAAACACGCGCCCTATCCGAGCCTTTTTTGGAATTGAAGGTAAACTTATATGATAATGTTTTTATGTAGAACAAAAAGACTATCCTTTCCGAAACAAATATAACCCGATTTAGTTTTTCTTTTTCTTTTCATTTTTTGTAGAATATATCCCTTTCACAATTATAAATAAATCCGGATGGTCTAGCTGGTTATGACGGCTGCTTAACACGCAGCAGGTCGGCGGTTCAAGTCCGCCTCTGGAAATTAAATTTGTTTTGCTTTAAAAAATCTATAGTTTTTGCATCGGGACGCAAATCTGGCCTCGAACAGGGTGTCATCCAACCCTGAGTACGATCTACCGACTTTCGACACGCGGCGCCAACCCTCCGTATAAATGATGAGCTTATCACGCCGACGCTTGCAGATGCCCCTTGGAACACACGTTACTTCCCGCTGAAGATGGCCAAACAATGAGGTTATTTATCCCAAAATGAAGGAAATTCCGCCTACGAGGACTGGTGTGTCCAGAATGGCGGTGCGGGTACCAAATTCAAGTACTATAAGGGGTTTACGCATCCTGGTAGGCCCGAAACTGCT